ACTACAACATCAAGAGCAGTAGATCATAAAAAGAAGCAAGTTGCAGATGAACATGAGAAATGCACTTACAAAATATTTAAAAGATACATTCTTGTTGAATGTTGATGATTATCATAGATTCACATCCAGAAACAATCAGTATCCTTTAATACTAAAACTTTGTTACTTCTAGGAAGCTATCTATCTACAAACATTTTTTACAATTATGTATAATGTGATTACACTAATTATACTAATTTGAATAATTGTAGTGTGCCCATGTTATCACAATCATTGTCTACAAAGGTGTCAATCTAAATGTTTGATATCTTGGACTATCTTCAAGTTGAAATAAAAAAAAATGTCAACACATTAAAAGAAAGTATGATGAAAAATATTAAATTTATCAAAAATAACGAAAATACAGTTGATGATGATCTGGGCAATGTTGAATCAGCAACAGATGACAGCAACAATGGAAATTTTATTAGAATATGAAAAAAAATTTTTTTGGTTGTAAATTTGTTTTTATTAAATAAATTTGTTTGATTTTTCATATATTGTTCATTTTTTGTATCTTAAATTTGTTGTGTCATTTCATTGACATTCGTTATATTAAGGTTATTTTGATTATATTGAGAGATATGGTCAAGAGAAGTTAGGAAGAGAGTTATTATTCGACCAAATCAAAAACCAACCCTTTGAATACATTTTCGAGTAGTACGATTTAATTTATTAGACTATTTCAACGGTTGCTTCCAACTTCTTAAATTCGTTAATGAAATAATTGTTGGTGAAGTGATTGTTGACAAAATGAATCAAACCCATATTTATTTCTACGTTATCAAATTCGCGATTTTAATTGGTCAATCAACAAATAGCATGGGTTAAAATTTTGTGTTCCCTCCTGTTAATTTTGTGTTCCCAGAACGGTCTCTCCTGTTGGATGTTGACCATCCTAAACCATTAAACATCTCCATATTAATTTTAATATTTGAAAGTTTTAAAAAGATAAATAATGATTTTTGTTTCTTTTTCCAACGACGTTGAATAAAATTTTAAACAAACTGAGTTAACTTCCCAAAAATTAGGACTTGCTTTTGAAAATACCTCTTATTAACATTAATAATAAAGAAACCCAAATTCCTGTGAGATTAAAAAAATGTTGATTTTTTTTGGAAAAGATCTTCGAGGTCCTAGACGATCCTTATTTGGGGTTCTTTGAGACTTTTGCATTCATATATTAATTTGAATCTTATTGGCAAATCAATGAATGATAAATTTAAAAAAAATTACAAATTTTAATGAATTCACAATCAATTACACCTGAAATACAAGAATACATAGACCGTGCAGTCTCAAGAATACCAAGCAACAACAGTTGGTCTTTCTTACAAGGCTTCTTTTTTGGTCAACTATCAATAGTAATTTTAGTCATAGTATTTATAAAATATATGTTATTTGAAGAAAATAATAATAACAACAATAATAATGGTAATAATAATAAGGTTTGTAATATTTTCTTTTTATTCTTCCTTTTCCTTTATTTTTTGTTTGTGAATGGAACAAGTCGTAGATTTTTAAACAACAAAAAAATAAATTTTTTTTAGAAATTACCACTTTCAATTTCTTCTCTTCTTGCAACCACAACAAATCATAATAACAACACCATAATTACTGCTAATCCTGGCACCACCACTGCATCATTACCTACACTGATCAAGTTTTATAAAAATCTATACGACCCAATTTACAATACTCGATCAGAATCATCTGATTGGCTTAATGTTTTATTGGCTCAAATCATTTGTCAGTATAGAGATGATGCGAAAACTGATAATAGCCTAATTCGTTATGTGGATGGAATATTAAATGGTGGTGAGAAGCCTAGCTTTCTAGGCTCAATTAAAGTTACAAGACTTGACCTAGGTGAAGATTTTCCAGTTTTTAGTAATGCAAGAGTAAAACCAATTGATAATTCTGGAAGAATGGTATGAAATTAAATTATTTTGATTATTTAATTAATTAATTTTTATTTCTTGATTTCTAATTGGCCTTTTATTTTATATAACAATAATAATAATAATAATATTATTATTATTATTGTAATTAGAGAATAGAAATTAATTGTAATTATGATGATGATATAACATTAGGAATAGATACTCAAATTCTTATTAATTGGCCAAAACCAAAAATTGCAGTATTACCGATTTCATTAGTGTTATCGGTCATTAAATTTGAAGCAACGGTAAAAATATATTCAAAAATTTTTCTCCTAGTAATAATATAATCGTTTTCAATTATATATAAATTTTTTTTAGTCAATAATATATAGGTAACTTTAGAAATTGTGAAAGCTACTGTTACTACCACCGAACCATTACCGCCACCGTCGTCACTACCACCATCACCATCAGCGTCTTTATCATCATTACCGTTACCACCATTATCACTATCGTCATCATCAACACCTAGTAACACTAGTGGTATTGTTGGCATTAATAGCAATAGTAATGATACTAATACTAACACTAATACTACTAATACTTCATCATCGTCATCTTCTTATATTACAATATCCGTACTACCGGATTTCTTGCTCGAATTTGGTGTACAATCATTAATAGGAGCTCGATCAAAATTGGAAGATGTTCCCAAAATTACTCATATCATTACTTCTAAATTAAGAAACGCTTTTTGCGAAAAGTTGGTTTATCCAAATTTTGAAAAAATTAAAATACCAGAATTATGGTCATTTGACAACAACGACAACGACAACAACAATAATAATTATTTTGATTAAAAAAGAATTTTTATTTTTAATTTAAATATGTAAATATTAATTTATTATTTTGCATTGTTTATTATTATGAATATATAAATAGGCAAATAATTTGAAATTATTATTTAATTTTTTATTATTATTGTTAATCAATTAAAAAGCCACCCTTAGTATCGAAATGATCACCTTCTCCCTGTTCTTCTTCTTCGCTATCATCTTCCTCTTGCATCACAGTTTCTTCTTCTTTAGAAGACTCTATTGTTACATCAACATCATCATCAATATCCATAGATTGATATTGTTCCGACTTTTTAAATGCTGCTTCTACGTCATCATTAGCATTATCATTCTCAATATTTCCATCATCCTCAACATTAACAACAACAACTTCTTCTTCTTCTTCTTCTTCTTCAGTGATATCTCCATGATAAAATTCGTTTTCACCTTCTTCCAATTCAACATCGGTTTCATCTCCTCCTCTACTAAAATAATCACTATGAATTCTCATTTTTATTTTTATTCCTACAATTAATCTTTTCCATCTTGCTAAAGCCTCCTTATCTTTTTTGGCATTACTTAAAGCTTCTACATTTGTTATATGTTCATGCCATGCCTATTTTTTAATTTTTTTTTTTGAAATTAATTATTTTTTTGTATTGCAAAATTGCAATACATGTATATATATGCGTGCGTGTATATAGATTTACCTCAAGTAACATAGTTGAATATTCTTCAGCAATTACAATTCCATTAACAACAGGAACACATCGATGAGAATGAAAATCAAATCCAACCTAAATCACATTATATAACAAGATTTAAATAAATATTTATGGTGCTATTAACTATCAAATAATTTAAATAGTAATAATGTAAATAGCAATAATGATTATTAATATATTACTTACCACTGCTTCAGCATAGTCGATACCTAGTTTCTTTGCAATCTTTGCTATACCATTAACTTTAGCAATAATATTATAATTAATACCAATGATGATATGATTAAATTTAAAAAAAAAATTTATTTACCTTCAATATGAATACCTCCAGGTGGACACATACTAGGTTTAAACATGTCTAAATTTCCATAAGGATTTTTAGGAACAATTCCCTGTCCATTCATCAAATATATAAATATAAATATATAATAATAATAATAATAATAATAATAATAATAATAATAATAATAATAATAATAATAATAATAATAATAATAGTAATAATAATAATAATAACAATGCATACATTAACAATAGGTTTGGGTGCATATTCTTCTGTTTGCCATTCACCATATAATCCTACTTCTGGAACTTTTTCATCAAATAAAATTGCTTGTCGTTTACTCATCGTATAAATTCGTGATTTCACATGTTTCAACGGCTGTTCTCCTTCCTAAACAATTAATAAATAAAATAAATAAAAATTTTATCATTATTTGATGAAATACGAAATGATCGTTTGTCATCTCTTTCACTCACTTTTATTTGACGTCCTTCTCTTAACCAGGTTTCAGTTGTATGCAACTATATTTTTAATTAAAAAAAAAAAAAGAAAGTAAAATGTCATTGATAAAATAAAATAATTTTCTCCTCATCCACTTTTTCATTTGTTTCTCTTTTCTCATAAAAAATCACCTGTTTAATATTTTTACGAGGATAAATTGATTCACCACGAATATGCCCAATGACTGGTTCTTTGGGAAAAAGTATTTCATATTTTTTTAAATGTCGTTCAAGTGCGTATCTAATGTTTAATAATAATAATATACTCTATTATTAAAAAGTTTTTCCAAAAAAAAAAAGAAATAATAATAATAGAAAGATATGTATATAACATATACAATGGATGATTATTAAATTCACTAATAGATGATGGAAACTTTTCTGATATTTCTAATGATGCCAATTCTTCATTTTCATTTTTATCTTGTTCCTAATAAATAAATTTTTTTAATTATTATTTAATTATTATCTGTAAAAGTATAATAATATTGTATACAAAATAACATTTACTTACCGTTTCAAATGGACAAGTAAAACAGGATAATGACTCACTCCACCAATCGTAACCATCCTTTGTAGGTGGGACGCGTAATTTTCGTGTTTTTGCACCCCATTTAGTTGTATATCTACGTGTAACATCTTTAATATATTCACTTTCATCAAAAGCAACAACATAAGCCAACACATTATTATGATCATTAGTAGCTGGTTCCATTGAACGTGGTTCATTCACTGTGAACCGAATAGGATCAACACAAAACCATTTTTTATGTACTTCAAAATAAACTTCACACCAGAAAATTGGTGGTGAGTTTAAAAAATATTTCTCGCTATTATTTGATGATGATGATAATGATGATGATGATAAATTAGTATTAAATGATTTCCTTCGTTTCAAATTATTCGAACCAGTTGTTGATCTTTTTCTTTTGGTATTATTGAAATTACTATACTCATCTTGATTATGATCGTCTTCTTTTTCTTCAATATGTTTGTTTTGTAAACTTAGTTTATAAGTACCAATTCCTAATACTCTCATGATATCATTATCATTCGAATTGTCAATATTACCAATCTTATTGTTGTTGTTGTTTTTGTTGTCATGACTTTTATTTTCACTTCTACTTGATGATTTCTTGCCATTACCACTATCACCGTTATCATCATCGTCGTCGTCGTCGTCGTCGTCGTCGCCGTTATCTTTCTTTTTTGATAAAGTAGTGGCTTTATTCTTACGCGCAAATGTGAAAGAAACGGGTTGCAATGAACTAACTAATCTAGCAGGAACTCCTAACGAACGCAAAGCTGAGACAAATAATTGAGCAGATATGTCACAACTACCTTCACGATCTTTAAAACATTTACGAAATGCCTCGATGGATTCAATATTTTCTGAACTTATTAAATGCTCTTTTCTAACACCGTCTACACCAAAATCATCAAATTCTCTCGTACAAAGTCCTCGAAATTTTGTTGTAACTGTAAAATAACGTTGCCACCATTTACAAAATTCGTTTAAAATAGTTAATAAATTTCTTCCACGAGATTTATCATTGGGTTTTAATGCCTTTTCAAAAAGATATTGTATATCACGTGGAATCAATGAACAAATGATCGCCTAAAATTCAATTAAAAATAATAATAAATAATAATGATAATAATGATAATAATAATAATAATAATAATAATAACAATAACAATAAATGCCTTTGTCAGAATATCATTACACCATCTATTTTTAATCATACAGCTAGCAAGTAAAGCAAGTAAATGTGTTTTATGAATATTTTGACGAATTGTTCTATGTCTTTTTGTAATTCCTCGTGGCCTAATTTATTTATTTCAATTAATAATAATAATTTTTAAAATCAACTATTTTATTTATAATTTATATTTACTTGTATTCTAATTTTGGTGCTTCAAAAGTAATTTGAATTGTTTTATCAGGTATATATGGTTTTTGATCATCATTTAATTCTGATGTGCCTAATATATGTATGCATAAATTGTATGCATATTTAATAAAAATATCCTAAGATCATAAAAATTTTCAGTAATAAACTGCATATTACGAAAATCTATTTACATACCTGGCTGTTCTAAAAGATCAACTTCTTCCCAATCATCATCATCGTCACCATCGTCATTTTCTAATTGATTATGATGATATTGTTGCAGTTTTCTAACATTATGAGCAATCGGTGATAATGATGATAGTCTTTTAGTTTTTGAATTATCTAATACAATTTTTTTGTTTTTAGTAATAGTCTCTTTTTTATCAGGTACAACATTAGAAGTAAAATATTTAGAGGCCCTTTCTGTTTGTTTAAGTTTACGTTTGGGTGTTTGTTGTTGATCGATATTTTGACTTTCTTTATTATTGTTGTTATTATTATTATTATTAGAATTAGCAGCAGCGACTGTTGCAGCTATACGAGAAGATCTGCGAACTGTCATAACTCTATTTTTTTTGAAAAATAATTAATAGATTTAATTAATATATGCCAATGACAATAACGGATAATAATGATGTTTGATGACAAATATCACTATTATCGGTAAAGTTTTACCCCGATTTTGAATTTTTATTTTTTTTATTTTGCATAATTATGAAAAATTCGTGGTGAAATAACAAATTTGGGAAAAGTTAATAAATAATTCTTTGGCGACTAATTCAAAGGGAATATTTTTTATTAATTTTTATTAATTAAAATTAATCAGGATTAGTAGTGTCTTAAGAGAGAAAGGAATCACACGACAAAGTCTTTTTTTGGCTAATTAATCAAGGTTGGCTGATTCTAAAATGTTTCAAAAATTGGTTACACGCCGCAAATTTCCAAATTTTCTTTCTTTATTTGATTGAAAAAAAAAAATCCAGCACAAATAAACACAATGGTCAACATTAACTTTCCAAAATAATCATCATTTATACTAAATCTTTCTCATTTTTTTTTTTGTTTTATTATTTTCTGGATTTTTTTTGTTGTCAATTAAAAAATCATAATAATAAATAATAAAAAATTTATATATAGTTGTAAGACTTTCTTGTAAAAAAAAAAAAAAAAAAATAGAAAATTATTTATTAATTTAAAAATTTCGCCATTAAAATATTTATTATAATAAAAACTTAATTAATTGCCAAAACTCTTATTCTCGCTCTATCTTTATTGCTTACTTTAACATTATAAAACCCACAATCTACCAACACTATAACTTAATCGTTATCTAACTAATAATTTTTTAGAAAAAAAAAAAAAAATGGAGAAAGCACATTCGATGGAACAAGAAGAAGAGCAAAATATTGCAAGTACTGTTACTTCCGAAGAACAGGAAATTGCAGTTTATGAGGATGTAGTGGATGTGGAAATTATAGACTTAGATGATGATACTGTTGAAGACGAAGAGAATGAAGGAAACAAGAAACTTTATCAAACAGGATTATTATTATCATCGTTAGAAGATGTAATTACAATTGACCAGGAATTAGAAGAGAAACAAAAATTATTTCAATTGAATTATAAAAAAATAACCAAAGAAATTTCAATTATGAAAGAAACTGGAGTGAAAAAAGTATTTATAGAACCTATTGAAAATTTAGTTAATTGGATAGATTCTCAATTTAATAGAAATTTGTTTAATCAACAACTATTAAAACCAATCATTGATATTAATAATATTGATTTAGGTTTAATAAATTCTTTGAATGAAAGGTTATCAAAATTAGAATACAATATAATAACCAAACAAGCCAATGAATTTAATAATTTAATAAATAATAATAACAACAAAGATCATGAAATTTTAAAATCTTTAAATTTATTATGGGAAAGTTTTAAAATTTTAGTAAATTTATCAAATTTAAAAACAAAAGAGTTAAATTGGACTTCTAATTTGATACAAAAAACACAAGGTATTAACATTGAAATTAAAAAAATCGAAGCAATGTTAGAAGATGTTGAAGAATCAAGAAAGAAATCCCATAATGAATCTTCGACCGCTGTAATAAGAAATAATATAATTAATAGTGATGTATTAACATCTTCACCAAACTCAAGTATAACAAATCTCAGCAATAACAACATTACTACTTCTAGCGCTGGAAATGCAACATCATCTTCATCATCATCTTCATCTCCATTATCTTCCATAATTGCTGGTGAATTCACAAACGTGTCTAGTATTGTGTTTTCTTCATCTCTATTAGACGAATGGTACACAAAAATAGTAGCTGCTGATGAATTATTTAAATATGAAGTAAATGATAAAGTTAAACATTTAATCAATTTCTATCAGCATGAGAAATTCAGAGCTCCAAAAGATTTAGTCAATCAACTAATAGAAATAGTGAATAATGTCATCCCTTTACTGGGTGATAAAATTTCTTTCATTCGTCAAACTTTATCCCATGATAGACATATAGGAAGATGGTTTGATGGTTCGAATGAATCAGACAAATGGATCTCTGATACATACAACAGGATCAAACAAATAGAAGTACCTGACCTAATAAATAAGTATGATTGGTCTGATGAAAAACAAAATATTGAAAATCTAATTGAAGAACGTCATCAAACAATTAATATAATAAAACAAGATACTTTAAAATTTGAAGATGAACGCATAAGAGATTTGGAACGTAAATCAAATGACCTCCATTTAATAATCCTAAACCGTCAACCTTCCTCCAATTCTTTCGCCTCATCCAATACCACCAACACCACCATCACACCATCATCATCATCATCATCAATTAACTCAATAATCATTCAAAATTCTCAAGATCTACTAGCAATAGAATTAATGGAAAAGCAATTAAAAAATATAAAAGACAATTTATCAAAATTAAAGGAGTTCATTGATAATCTATTATCGCAAACTACTGTTGAAAACTTTTTAATAATAATTGAAACTTTAGAAAATTTGCAAATTTTGCGAAATGAAATAACTCAAATTCGTAAATTAATCATTGAACATAATGATGCCGATATGGTAAAAGATGATGTTATAAAAGTTGAAGAAAGTATAAAAAATTTCGAAAAACAATTGCCTCATGCAGCAGAAAACAATTTAGATACCTCTACTTCTTCTTCGTTTAGTAATGATGATAATAACGATTCATCAACCATGGTTGATACTACCATCACAACTGAAACTACTACTACAATAATAACCACAACTACTATAATAATGACAGCAACCGCTTCACCTGGTTTAGTAAAGGCTTTAAAACATAAACATAATAAATTATTATTAACTATACAAAATATCAAAGTTGCATTAGCTGAAAACAAATTACAAATGGCCGGCTACTTGTCACCATCATCTCCTTCCTCTCCTACTTCTGCCAGTTCTGAATTTGACAAATTAATCAATACCATTGAACAAAAATTAGAAAATTTCTATACAATATTATGTTATCCTCCAACTTACATGTTGGACAATAACACTGCTAATAATGATATCATTGATGACGAAACAAATACTGATGACATTGATGGTGATGAAGATAATAATAATAATAATAATGCAGAAGAGGTTGAGCCTGAACGAATTCATGGTTTGACATGTAATGATGACCATGTTGAAGAATTGAGTGAACGTTATGGCAATGTCGAATCCGAATTGACCTTATTTGAGAGAAGTTTATGGGTTGAGTTCTGGTTGAAGTCTGAACCTGCTAAACGGTTACGTGGTGAAGAAGTAACCAAACAAATTAATGAGATGGAGAAAAAATTTGCTGATATTAAGGATTTGATGATTTTGCGTCAAAAAGATTTGCGAATAATTAAAGAAGGTAGAGAATTTGCAAAAGGTGCTAAAGCGATCAGGGATCAACTTGATATCGTAAAAGGTAAAATGAGACGTCAGGATACAAAAACTGATGATGCATCAATACAGGAATTAGATGATCATATGACTGAAACCTTGGAAATGTTAAAGAATCTTGAATCAACTTATCAACATTTGATAGCTCCTGATATAGAGGACAAAAGTTATCGAGAAGCATTTGATGAGCAACAAAATCAATATAATTTGGTGCAAGCTTGGATTGAAGAAGTAAAAGTTTGGTTTAAAGAGGCTGAACGTATGTGTGTATGGATAAATGAGCATATTGTCATATTGAAAAAATTTCCTCAATTTGACGTTTTTCAAGAAGATAAAGTGCCTGCTACTCAAGAACAAGTTGATGAATGGCAAGATGATTGTGAAAATTTGGAATTGGAAACCGAGAAATTTGAAGCTGAAGATATGACTAGGTTAAAAGCTCATGTCAAGTCCATCATGGGTGCTAACATCTCCTTCAATTCTAACAATAATCCCAATAGCAGCGATGGTAGTAATTCCGATACTAATACTAATTCTCAGGTTAATGAAGCAATGTCACCTGCTGATACAATGACAATTGCTATCACTCTGCAAACAATTCATCAACTTGACATTTTGTCAGCTTTGACTAAACGAAGATCAAATGAATTGGATGTGCTAGCTCTTAGAGTAGAATGGGAACGTGAGGTTGCCAAAGCTTTAAATATTTGGAATGAATTGACTAATGATATCAAAGAATTTATTTTAAATAAAGGCAGATGGAAACAACCAACGGGTATAAGAGATGATGATGGGTGGTTCATTAATGCTAATCAACCAAATCAGAAGGATGTGTTAATTGAGTTAGAATCAATAAATAAACGTATAATGAATTTTGAAAATGACAATATCCCTGAAACTGGCCAAATATTAGATGAATTGATAGATGCTTCATTGGTGGAAGTGCCTGAACATATACATATAAGACAAGAGAACCTTGAGGAAGGTGACCTGATATTTTTAAAAGATTATCTTGATTTCTCTAAAAACATTTTAAAGCAACGCCAAAAAGTTTTAGAATATGCTCAAGCTGGTGAAACTGTTTATATCAATGGATCGAAATTAAAAAATGAATTAATAGAAGAAGTAAAAAATCCAAGAGGTGGCTCTGTAGAAAAGAAATTTATAGCAAGGGTTGAAGAACTTAATAAACATGTTGAACAGAGTTGGAGTAATATTGGAGAAAAAATCATCTACCCGAACCACTCAAATCATGATCAAAATGAAAATAATTTGGTCAAGGAAGGTGTTGATGCTTATCATTGTAAATTGGAAGATTTGAAGCGTGAAGCCAATAATGCATTGAAAGATTATCAAGATGCTCTTAGATTACTTGAGAAGGAATTACTGCAAAGATCAGATGACTTATTCAATGATACTTCCAACCTACAAGATTGGGTTGATAAAAGATTGTCAATACTTGAGGAAAATAAGGTTGATCCTTTAGCAACTGAATGTTTACATACAGAGGAACAAGTTAAAGATCTGTTGAAAGAACATGAAGAATTTTTAGCTGAGAATTCTAAAGTTAATTTGGAGGACATTAATCGAATCAAGGAAGGTATTGAGAAATTGGTAGAAGATATCAAGTCATCAAAATGTGATGATGTTGTTGATCAGAAACGTTTACATGATGCTTTTAAAAAGTTAACCAAGAAGTTTGCTGAACTACAATCAAAATCATCAGCAAGACAGTTAGACTTATCAGTATTACAACCACGTGCTAATTGGGAGGATCAATATGTTCCTGGAATGCAATCATTGAATGATTTAATTGATGAAGTTAACAAATTCATTGCAGAAAAGGCTAGATGGAAACCTGTTGATGTTACTAGTAGTACTGCTGGTGGTGGTGACACTGAAGAGGATAATGATAACAATAATGATGAAGCTGCAACTACTGGTACTTTAACTGATAATGATATTAATGAAGATAATAAAAATCAAGATGATGAGGGTAAAATACTATTTTCAAGTAAACAAGAAACAATCAATGATTCAAAACAAGCAACAGAAAGTTTGTTGACCGAGACAGAAAAGAGGGATGGCGATTATGATAATGAAAGTGTGGAAGAAAAAATGGGTGATAATAAAGCTGCTTCAATTGTTCCTGATACTGCTATTCCAATTTTGACTGCAACTACAACTGTAATTGATCATGATAATGAACATAATGAAATAGTAAAAGAACCAAATTTAGATTTAAATCAAAAATCGGACAGCTCTACACAAAACATTGATGATGATCAAGAGGCATTTTCAACTGAAAAGGACACAACAACTTTAGATGAAAAAGATATAGACCCGGATGAAAAAGATGCAGGTTTAAATGAAAAGGAGCCAATTCCAGAAGAACCAAAATTAGACCCGAAAGAAGAGTTTGAAATCTTTACTGGAAAAGTTAAAGAATTCCAAGAAAATGTCTTGGAACCATTGAAATCATCAAATAAAGACATGGTTTCAACAATCAAAAACCTACTATCAAAAAAATGTCCAAAACATTTATCAGATCGTCAATCAGATTTTGAAAAGAAATTTGATTATTTGATGGATAGAGTGGAGCTAGGCAAGAATGTTTTGGAACAATGTGATGCAATCAATGATTTCTTGAATCAAGCCAAAGATATTATTGATTGGGTGAATCCACATTTGGAATTCCTTGGTAAAATATTGAAAGATGATACTTTGGGTGAACTTAATGAAGATAAATTACATGATTTATTGGAAGAAGTCAATAAAGTTGAGTCAGGAAAACAAGCTTATACTGATGTCTATGAACTAGCTAAGAACTTGGCAAGTAATTTAATTGATCAAATGAAGAAAGATATTGCTGCTAACAACAAAAATAATAATAATGACGGGGATATTGATATTGGGCTTGAAGCAGTACAACTTAAAAAAGCGGAAATTGATGATTTATGGCAAGAATTACAAGAAGCTATACCAAAAACCAAACAACAATTGGATCAAGCATTGCAAATAGTCGATTTCAAAGAGAAAATCAAAGAAACAATCTCCAAGGTTGAAAACTTATCTGACATAATATCATCTTCATTGGTGGATCAAGTGACAAAAGACAATATCAATGATTGGCAGACTGAATTGAATGATTTAGAACAGACAGAACTATCCTCATTGGTTAAACTTCATGACAATATTCAAGAGAGTCTTTCAACAAATGATGGTGCAATGAACAAGAAGGAGCGTGCTATCCTTGAGAATTTATTAAAAAGTGTTGAAGATAAGATCAATGATCTAAAGAAACTGATGGATGATAAGATCGATGAGGTTGAAGCACACAGATCAGCAGAAATCACTGGTGCATATTTGACTAGAGTTAATGATTTGCAAAGTTGGATTAAGGGGCAATTTGAGGATTTTCTTAGTGGTAAATCACAACATGGTATAATGGTGGAGACATCTGAGCAAACAAATAAAGAAAATCTCGAAAATTTGTCTATAATATTTAATAATTTCCAAAAACAATTTCCAGAAAAATTTGAACTATTCAATAGCATAACAGAAGAGTATAATAATATCAAGTCACAAGAAGGTATACGTGAATTACAAGATGTGATTAAGTCACAAACTGAATTGAATGAATTATGGGAAAATTTGGATTTAGGCTCTAATGAATTTAAAGATTTCATCAATAAAGTTGGCAAATGGTATGATCAGCATAATATTATATATCGTGTAGAAGATGACATTTTTGATGGACTCGAGGATCATATCAATAAATTGGGTAATGTGAGTTTTGACAATTTGGAATTTGAAGCTAAAGAATTAGATGATAAAATACAAAAGGCTAAAGAAATGCTTGAAGAAGCCAAATCTGGCGCTAGTCAGATAGTTGATATTGACAATGATATTTTAGACATTACAAACCGTCAAAACTTTAATAAACATCATTCAGATGCCACTGCTCGACTTACTAAGTTGTCAAATCTCTTCCAGAAAGCATTAGCAGAAGCCCGTAATGCTTCATTGTTGGCAGAATTCAGTGCTGATGCTGACAAAATCATCAGTTCATGTTTGGAGGGCACTTCGATAGTTGAATCAAGACGTGATGAGTTCAACAATAGTGAATATTATTCATTAGAAGCTGAAGCATTAGAAAATTTGATTAATAATGCCATGATTGGACTTTTAAAGAGTGAGGAACAATTTAAAAAATGTGAAGAACTAAATTTTGGCTTGAAAACTGATGCCGATAAATTGATTGAAATGAATCCTGAAGCAAATAAAGATTATGTACAGAATATTTTAAATAAAGTTACACAAGCGCTTGAAGGCTTCTCAAATAGCATTTTGGCTGAAAAACAGGGAATTGATATGGCAAGAAAAATCTATCCGCATACCAAGGCATCAGAAGATATCAAGGAATGGATTTCAGCTTGTAAGACGGCTGCATTAAATATCCAAGTTGGCGCTATAGATCAAGAAGCTGAAGTCGAAGAATTGGAAGAAAATGCAATGAATTTCCAATCTACTATTGATACTTATAAAGATATGAGTCAACATATTCTTTTGCCAACTATTATCAATGATACCAATGCCGTTAATGATAATTACAATCAAGCTTACCCGATTGTCACTTCAGAAGACCTTCATGAGCATGACGATAGTAACACTGATAAAGGCAATCTGAATGCTTACGATAATAATGAGGATAGCAGTGGTGATGTATTAAATGAAGAAGGAAAACAACAACAGCAGCAGCAGCAGCAGCAGCAGCAACAACAAGCCGTGGAAGTTAATAATTACAACCAAGTTTACTCAGAAGATCTTCGTGAGCATGACGATAGTAACATTAATAAAGGAAATCTGAATGCTTATGATAATAATGAGGATAGCAGTGGTGATGTGTTAAATGAAGAAGGAAAACAACAGCAGCAGCAACAACAAGCCGTGGAAGTTAATAATTACAATCAAGTTTACTCAGAAGATCTTCGTGAGCATGATGATAGTGGTATTGATAAAGGCAATCTGAATGCTTATAATAATGATGAGGATGGTAGTGGTAGTGTATTAAATGAAGAAGGGAAACAACAACAACAGCAACAACCTCAACAACAAGTCGTGGAAGTAGAACCTAAAATTAAAGGTGTTGTAGAGGCTAGAACAAAAAGACTTTTAGAAGATTGGGATGAATTAACAGATTTATTGGGAAATTTAAGGTCAAGATTGAATGCATCCAAAGAAGCACAAGAAGTTTTAAAAGCCATCAAAGATATCTCAGTATTAATTGGTCAAGAAAAAGGACGAGTTTTAGACATTGAATCTTTCTTTATTGGTGAGGGAGTACCAAGACTACCAACAAAAGACGATGTCCAAACCAATCTAAGAGAACTTGATGAGATACAAGCTGAAATTGATCATATGCTTGTACCAAAAATTGAAGCATTAGATGAATTGCTTAGTAATTTATCAGAGAATGAGCCTAGTTTTACTAAACGGCGTTTAAGTATAGCAGAAGCATTTGCAAATCTGGAAGAAATGATAGATAACAAACGATCACAGTTAAATGAGGCAGAAATATTGGTATTATTTGGTAAGAAGGCGGACGAAATGAATACGTTAATGAGCTCACTGCTTGAAGTTGTTGATAGAGCCACAACAACCAATGATGGATTACCATTATCATTATTGACTAAAATCGAATTGGATGCAAGGTTGATTGAGATAGAATCACAATATTCTTATTATAAACCCAGAATAGACGATAAATTTGAAGATGTAAAAAGAATATCAGAACCTATTAAAGATGATTGGAGAGTTTTGGATAGATTGGGTATTTTAAAGGAACAATGGGCAGAATTGATCGATGTGACAAATGCTAAAATGGATGAATTGAGACGGTTATTGTCTGGACAAAAGGCTAGACCTACAAGACATGAAAGATCGAGCTCTCAAATATTATCATCAGGCAGAATATCTTCACCAACTAGAAACAATAGATCATCATCTGCATCACGTAAATTTAATTAATTAATATATTAATATATATGTATTTTTGTCTATACTAACAACATCTTTTTATTGGATTTTAAAGCTAGAAAACGTAGTGGAATAGTCTCACCATCATTAACAGGACCAAAATCTCGTCAACCATCATCTAGAATTGGTAGTCCATTATTAACACCTAATAGATCAACACCAAGTCCAAATCAAACACCAGGATCACCAGGATCACCAAGAAGACCACAAATAAGATTAGTACCACATACGGTTAATAATTATATACCTGATGTAAAAGACCCATTGGATGTTGAAGTAGCAAGAATTGTTAATTCATGCCCAGTGAAAATAAAAGTTTCCATGGTGGAAGGTGAACATGGCAAATACACGTTTGGAGAGGTTGATCCTAAACTTTGTTTTTGTCGTATTTTAAGAAGTAGAATGGTAATGGTCAGAGTTGGTGGAGGATGGGCTGAATTGTCAAAGTAGGTGACATATATATATATACATATACAAAAAAAGAGAAGTGAGAAATTAAGAACACAAGTAGCTGTATTACTTCAGCAGCATTATACTTGCTATTTTTACTAATCACTTATATCATTATCATTATTACTAACAAATGCAAATGCAAAATTTAATATTGAATTTTTGTTTTTGATTGTATTAATTATTAATAATTAAAAATTTTTTCTATTCTTTTTTTTTTTTTTTTAAATAATATAAAAGATTCCTAATTGGTACGTATATCATTCATTATTTACACTTGTCTGAAAGAGATAGATTATCATTACCCCCTTCCAAACACACTCGAAAATATGTATATATATATATATATATTGAATTTGGATTACCACTCACCTTCAAAATTCATTCACTGAAAAGAGAGAAATATTATTTTTTTTTATTTTTTTTTATCATTTTTTGACATTTGTCGTTGTTTGTTATTGTTATTGTGTATGACAATTATAGATAACAGTGATGTCACTCTCCAATTCATTCTGCCACAACAGAACACGCTAACCTGGAACAAAAGTTTATCCCCAAAGCCCGATCTTTTATCCGAACTGATGAAACTGAGCCAAGCGGCTATGGAGGAGGAGGAGGAGGAGGACGAGACACCCCAACCAGCCCAACAAGTGAAGCCTTTGGTAGTTCCAGTTTTTATGAGACGAACATCAGCTTCATCCCGAAATCAGGGCTCAGGATCGAAGACCCCACAGCGAAGCTTAACGAGCCGTTGGCGTTGAAAAGAATGTCTTTTGCTAGAAGGGTGAGAAGTAATAGTAACAATGAACCAGACCTTGATAGATTTCGTTTTGGTAGGCCTAACTCTCAGATAATTAAACCTATGGAAGAATAAGTGCATCTTTTCTTTTATTATACCACCAGTTCTGGATTATTATTTTGATTATTATTAGGTTTGGTGGTAGAGTGTTAATATATATAATATATATATATATTAGGTTAAATTTTTATTGATGTTAGTGGTTATTTAATTAATTAATAGTTAATCGGTTATGGGTTATTGGTAAAGAGGTTAATTATTAATTACATTTAAATTTAAATCATTCCTTGCAATGATAATATAAAAAAGTGAAAAATGAATATAAAAATAATTGATCGTGGATTTAGCCAGCAAGTAACAATACATTCTATATTTTTAAAACATTACACATATATTCATTACATAATTAGACTTTATATTATATTTATTATTATTAATATGATTCTTATGATTTTTATAGATAGATGATTATTTATTTATTTCAAAAATATTTATTATTATTGTATTTTTATCTATTTATTTCCAGTTGAAAGTGATTTATTTATTTATTACTATATAAAAAAATATCTCTTTTTGCTAGATGGAAAAGAAACATTAACTAGTCAGATATGCAATATAATCTTTCAAGCATAAAGATCATGTGCTATTCCCCTTGTGGCATACATTATGCCCAGTCAAAATCAATCAGCGGTCATACAGAACATTGAAATTGCCAAAGACAATGTTGTTTTGATGTCATAAGCCTTTATTTACCTAATAATTGTTTGATAATGTAATGAAAAATCAAAAAAACTTAATAAATTACAACTTTAAAAAAATAAAATTTTGTATAAATTATAATATGCTAGTTTCCTTAATAAAAATTTTAACCATCCAAGAATAATTATTCAAAAATAATGAATCTAAAAATCTAATCATCACTAATTGTATGTTAATGTAATAAAGCACTTTGGAATCTTTGATTTAGTAAATAAATTAAAATTAATTTCCCTTTTATTTAAAAAATTTATAATATATTTTTTTATCGAATTTTTGCCCTAAAATTAAAAAACGATTCACGTTTTGGCTCCTTTTTTGCATTGTTAAAGATATTCCAAAAACGTAGTGTTTCATCACCAGCACCAGTAACTATATTTTGACCATCAGGTGAAACAGAAAGATATAATACTCTAAAAGAATGTCCTTTTAACACAGCTAATTGTTCCATAGAAGGATACTTCCAAAGAATTATTTGATTTTGAGAGTACCCATGAGTAGAAACTATTTCATTTGCATGCCTAGACCAAGCAAGGTTACAAACCTAATTTCAAAAACCAAAAAACAAACATTAAATCACACCCAATAAATATCGTTCATTTTATATAAAATTAAAAAAAACCAATAATATATTGATATATAAATACTTGTGACTCAGTATCATAACTTTCCAATGCTTCGCCAGTTGTAGTTGACCAAAAACGAATATGTTTATCTTGAGTACCACCACCACTTGCTAAAAGACCATGTGAATGTGGACTCCAAGCAATTGCTTTAACAGCAGCAGTGTGATGAAGAAATTTATAAATTGGACTATCATTTGATTTGTCCCAAATCAAGAGCATGTTATCATTACCACCACTTGCTAATTGAGTTCCTTCAGGATTCCATTTAAGGCCACATACCTTCACACAAAATGATTAAGCATTTAAATATAATTACAATGTTAATATTATTATTGTATATGTTTGATATGATTTTTTTACCTCTTGTTTATGACCAATAACTTTTGTAGTATAATCCTCTTTATTTCTGACATCTCTATGAATTATTGATTTATCACGACTTCCTGAGCTTAATGTATATGAATTCCACGCAAGGGCGCCTTAAATATTATATTAAGGCAAATCATATTAAAAACGTTAAATTGCAACTTATAATTCATTATTATTATCATCGTTGTCATCATCTTACCAACACGTAGAGGATGACCTTTCATTTTTCTGATTCTCTTGCTTTTTTGGACATCCCAAATTTCTACAAAGCCAAGAGATGTGCCTATAGCTATATGTGTGCCCTTTTCAAACCATAAATTAATGTATTAATTAATCGAATAATATTATTTTTTTGTTGTAGTGCTTTAAAATATTTTACCGTCGGCATCCAACTAACTGATGTGACATTTTCTGGACTTTCTCCATTAGAACTTGATGCTTGAATTGACATATCACATAATTTTTCAACCTAAACGATAAATAAATAAATAAATAAATATATTAAAATTTTTTTTTAATTAAAAAAAAATTTTAATATGAATACCTTTGATGAAACAGCATTCCATAAATAAACGCAAGATCCTAAACCAACACCCAAAACATTAGTTGATGACCAATCTACTAAATTTAAATAAAAATCATCCTAATATATATTATACATTCAAAAACAATTATTATATGTTATCAAGCGATTTATTATTGTTATTATTATTTATTAATTAATTATAGTTACTTGAAGATCTGGTGCATCAAGGACTTTGTAAGGAAATCTACTAATATATCTAGGTGTTTTACGAGGACCAGTTAAAATTACTTGTGCTTCTAATGGAAGTGGTGTTAAAGAATATGCATTTCTAAATGGTGAAGTTAAAGAGTATGAATTTCTAAACGGTGAATCAATAATGTTTACTGAATTCTTTTTTGTGGGTGTACGGTAACATTGCAAATTTGAAGGTGATGTGATTTGAGTGGAAGAATTAAATGTTCGAAGGATCTCTTCAGTTGTATCTCTGAAAGGTATCATTGCTCTAGCCAATACAGCTCTATAGATTCGCCCATCCTCCTCTTTTAAAAAAAAAAAGAAAAAGATAAATCATATGCATTGATGTATGTATTATATAAACTTGACTTGTAAATTAATTGTTGGTGATATCTTCTAGTAAAAGTCAACTATGAAGTATTAATTCTATATATAATATGAAGATTATAATTGATTACTTGGTAGAAAAATGAGTAATTAAGAGTTATGTTATATGTGAATTAAAATCTATAATTAAAATATGAGGAGTGTTTGGGTGAAGATTTTCTTGATTGGTTGATTTAATTTCACATACAACAGTTGTTAAGAATTGCTTTGAATTAAGCTTCATTATATGTATTATATATGTAACAAATTTTGATCTGTTGAATCTCAAATGTAATCTTCAAGTCTCAGAAGTGGTTCTTACTAGAAGACACTATGATTAAAAATTTCAAATACCTTGTTGAGCTTCTTCTTCGATTACAGAAGGACCTCTTTTACGTTTTTTGCAACCAGATTCTTGAACGGCCTGCATCATTAACAGATCTGCAGGACTAACATTTCGATTTGTTTGTGATATATGCCTAATGAAAATAATTTAATCCATGTAAATGTTATATTATATATGAGTATGTCGAGGTAATGTTATTACTTAATAATAATAAAATTTGTTACCTGTCATAACCCGAAGAATAATTTTTGCGTGGAGTTGTTGGGGCTGACATTATTTGCCAAAGTTATGAATTAAAACTTTAAAAAGTATCCTTCGGTAGGTCTATATTGCTATAAAGCAACTTGATCTAATATAACGGATGGTAAAATTATATATGTTACTAATATTGCCGTTTCTAGAACAGAAAGTTTTAAAATATAAAAAAAATTATTCTTATAAAAATCGAAAAAGGATAAAATGATAGATAAATATGTAGTACATGTTTGAGTAACTTATTATCAATTTGAAATCCTATTGCTGCTATATATTATTTTAAACATGAACACGAAATTTTTGTTTTGTAGAACGAAAGACGCGTCTACTCGAATAAAAAATTTATTAATAAAAAAGGATTTAATTACAATAAAGATTCTCATTTCCTTTATTCTACAGAATTTACTTTCTTCTGAAATAAACAAAAAAAATTTTTACTTGACAATATTTCAAATTTTAATCGCAACAATGTTCAATTCAAACAAAGTTAGTATCAGTTTTATATCCTGCTAATGTTAATGTTACGACTACCGTCAACACTATCACCTGAAGGAAGAAGGGCAAGAATTTATGAATCTAAATTTTTCTATATATATATATTATTTGATGTTTTAAAGGCTATGGAAAATTTCGCTGCAATACCCAAGAAAATCTTAAACATCACTTCACAAGACAAAATTGCATTGGAAGATGTTAAATGTCCTAACAAGGTGATTATTTGATTACTAATTATACATATGTAAATGTACACATTAATATTAAGTATTTGATATTAATTTCTCATGATTTTTACTATTTTGTTAGACAAACAATATTAATTTACATAATAATGTTAATACACAAGGAAAACAAAATGATCCAGAAACAAGGATACCACTTGGAATTATCATATCTAAAAATCATAATAATCGTAAAGGTAGTAACGAATCAAATAAAATTAAAAACATTTCAAAAAATAATAAGGTATTAGATTAGATATTTTGCCATTATCGACAGTATTAATACTTTCAGAATAAAATTTAATTAAATCAATGGATTTTTTGACATTTAAAGAGAAAAATTTCTGCTCTAGATGATAATAGTTCTGGAATCTCGTTACTCACACATATCGACACACCCTATAAGCCACCATATACATATGCTTCGTTGATCGGTCAGGCGATCTTGACTTCACCAGATAAAAAAATGAAATTGAATGAAATATATGCGTGGATAATGACTACATATCCATTCTATAAGGTGGAAAATAAAGGGTGGCAGGTAATTGACGCGTGTACATTATATATATTGACCGATGGTAATTATTAAGACTATATTCATTTAATAAAATCAAATTTTATACACAAATAGAATTCTATTAGACACAATCTTTCATTATATAATGTATTTGTGAAAGAGTTAGATAATAGTAAAAGTAGTAAAAAAGACTGTTACTGGACAATACCATCAGAATATCAATGTGCTTTTGTAGACGGTGTCTACAGACACGATAGGATTCCCAACACTTCAAAACGAACAAAAAGATCTGAACCGGAATCAAATAAAGATTATGATTTTGCTAGTAGTGGTATTCACATTCATCAAAATAATCCTGACGAAGATACTTCTTTAATCGTCTCTAGCAATAATTTAACAACGGCAGCACAAAGTCTTTTATTCGACATTAACCAAGTCTCAACACCACTACCATATAAACAAATCGCACAAGAATCTTCTATTGATGATATACTCCTTCATCAAAACTATAATATTATCACTAATGAAGATCCTGCATTCACTACAACTACCAATAATATTGTAACAAACCCATTTCCTGTCATTAACCAAGAGCAAATACTATCAGCACAACAAGATCAACAAAACAAAACATATATCAGTGATTTATTCCTTCATCAAAATTATACTGATGGATCCGCTTCTGCATCTTCTAATAATATTATAGTGAACATGCTACAAAATCCTTTTCTTGTCGATCAAGAACCAGCACAACAAGAAGCACAAGAATCAGCGTGCATATCTCAAAGTGAAGACAATAATAATGATACGCCACCAATAGAAGATAATATTGAATCATTAATAGGATCATTATTTGAGGGTTTTAACGATGAGGTTAGCACTACAACTGACAATGTCGATACCGGTGATTGGAGGTCTATTTATGCTATTATATCAAGCTTACCAAATACAGAAAGATGAAACGATTAATCATTGAAAAATTGCTAATTATTATTATATATATAAAATAAATAAATTATTAAATTATTAAATTATTTACAAACAAATTGCACGATTTATTTTCTTGGACCAACTCTATTTCAAATGCGCGTATTGATTATAATCAAATGACGCTATTATGAATAGAACCCTATTTATTAACTGGCCTCGTATTATTTTTTTCGCGAAAATTATCCGCGATTGCCAATTTAATTTCTAAATACGCCCACCAATAAAATTTTAAAATGCGGCGATTCCCAAGTCCTCATTAATATACTGTTCTGTTAATCAATCCATTTAAAGAAATCAACATGGTCATCATTATCAACATGAACGTTTGTCATTAGATCTTCCAAACTTTGTTTCATAACCAACCAATCAAATCAAATCATAATCCAATCAATAATTTTTTCAAAGAGATAATAAGATGTCAAAAGCAAGTGCCACTATTATAAGCACTGTTCATAATTATCTTGATGGTGATGTTAAAATAGTAGTAGAACAAGTTTCTTTTCAATTACACATGAATATTTTATCACTTGCTTCAGAAGTTTTTAAAAGTATGTTTACACTTGGAAGCTCAAGGTCAAAAAAAATTCCTGAAATCCCACTTGAAAATGAAACAATAGAATCGTTTCAAAACTTATTATCGTTTATTTATCCAACAAGAAATTTACGCATTTCTTGGGAAAATGTCGATGATATGCTTAGATTGGCTGATAGATATGAAGTACTTTCATTACATGATAGAGCATCTGAATTTTTAGAATACAACTTTAAAATAGATCCTATAAGAGCATTATTAATGGCTGATGAATATTCTCTTCGAAAAACTTATAAAGAATCATCTAAACTTGTACTTGAAGTTTTTCCAAAATATAAGCTCTCCAGTCACTATAAAATTTTGTCACCTTCAACCTCTAGTTTATTAATGCATTGTTATGGAAATTATTTGATTTTTTTAACAACGTTAGATAAAATGGATTTTATTACAAACTTTACGCATACATGCCATAATAAAGATGCGCACAACAATGTAATATCAGCACTAATAAAAGATCGCATCGATATTGTTTGTAGATTTCCAACACTTACACCCTCTAAATTCTTCAGCGTATTTTGCCAAAAATTCGAAGATTACAAAGATACTTTTCGAAATCAAACACGAACTTGTTCTTATCATCAACATTTTTTAACTGTATTCGATGCAAATTTTGGCAAGTATGAACCTCTGGAGGAAAAAAATAAAGTCGTTAGAGCAGCAAAATTAAATTTTATTTTTATCGAGATTCCTGAATAAACCAGCAGTGTGATATTTGAAGTAAACAAGTGGCAGTCAGTGATGTCAGTAATAATTATATAGTTAGGGGTAAAAGTGATAATTTTTTATTAATTTCTTCTAATCCATGTAAATTTTGATTAATAAACCCCATTATTTCCAAATTAAGTATTGAACTTCGCATCTATATAATGTATATAAAGAACACTCTTGTGAATGAATAAACAAATAAATAAATAAATAAAATAAATAAATAAATGGATTTGGAACCTAGTAGTAATAGTGGCAAACGTAGTGAAGAACGTGTCATATTAAACGTTGGAGGTGTAAAGGTAAAAATAAAATATAAAAAAAGTTGAATTAATAATATACGCATATTAATATAAATATCTATTTATTTATTTAGTATGAAACTTATTGTTCAACTTTAATAGCACATCCTGAAACCCTTCTTGGTACAATGTTTAAAGATAGTAATAAAGGTCTACTTCGACCTCAGAATGGAAATGAATATTTCTTTGATAGAAATAGTAAAGCCTTTCATTATATCCTTGAATATTATCGTACTGGTAAAATTCTTTTGCCATATGAAGAATATATATCTTCTTCTTTCACCCCTTCCTCTTCTTCCACCACTACCGCCATCGCCTCTTCCTCGTCGTCATCAGAGTCATTATCAACATCATCAAATCAGGCAACAGCAATTTTAGTAACTAGACAAGAAATAATTGAGGAGATGAAATATTTTCAAATACCATTTGTATCTCATCAAAAAATGTTAGATGTGATCGACTATGCAAATTGTCTTGATGAATTTATTATTGCATTGGAGGATTCAATTATAGAGTTTTGTAAAAATTACGGTAAAGTGTTATTTATAACATTTAGATGTTGGGACGTCTTAAGAAATAATAGGAATGTTGAACTATACAACACAGTGCCAAGAAATGAAGACCTAAAAAAGTATCTTAAACCATTCCAATACAGTGGATATAGAATCTTGGAAATTTTTAATGAAGAGATTTCCGCTCGTATAGAAAATCGTTTTCCTGGTATAAAATGTGTCACTGTTAAACACGACGAAATACTCGATGAGGACGATATAAGCATTTATATCCTAAAAATTTCTGTTACGCATAAAACTGATTCAAGTAGGATAGGTGGGGGTAATGGCGACGGTAGTGATGATGATGTTGTTGACAAACAAAACATCTTGGAGAATTCCAATATTCTTAAAAGAAAAGCAGATTGGAATGTTGGTTGATTTAATACCAATGATTTTTTCGGAGAGAAACTTATGATAAAAAAAAACTTGCATTTTTATATTATACTATTTAGATTTTTTGCATAAACGTTAGCAAATAGAAAATGATATATTATTGTAATTATTATGTATATTATTACTACTATTACTATGCTATAAAATAAAATAAAATAAAAAAATAAAAATAAAAATTTTCCAAATCCAATAATTTCAAACTTCTTCAACACTAAGCAATTTTGGATCACTCTTCTAATTAAAAAAAATCAATAAATCAATATTTTTAAATATAAAAAATTTTCAAAAAAAATTTTTTTTACTTACTGGTAAAGAAATACTTCGTACTTTATAATACCGTTCTAAAGCATTAAGATCAAATACTTGTTCTTTATTAACAAGATTAATATTAATACCAGGTATTCCATATCCGCCACAACAACATAATCTATAATATAAATACAAATATATTTATTATTTTGTTGGTATATTTATATTTATTTTTTATCGAACATTATATACATTTATTTATTTAGATGATTTACCTGTCATGATAATCTTCTTTTTTGTATGGGACGTCGAAATGTAAGCAGCATTTAACCGGGTTGAAGGCTAATACTGACGCAAAACAATCTACAGTTATCATAACTGATGGTGGTTCAGTATCCCAAAACGATTTGATGATTTGATATCTTTCAGATTGTTCTGTAAATGAATGCATTGCAAAAACAGGAACTCCATCGAACAAAGAACTCAATTTATCAGCCAACCAATTAACTCTTTCTGCATTATCACAGAAAATAACCATCGATTGATTATCATTCATATTGAAAATTTCACAAAGGCCATTCAATTTTTGATCTTCTCTATCAACAAGAGAATAATATAATGTCAACCCATCACTAACATGAACATCGTCAGTGACTATCGCAGGATCTTCGAGCATTCGATTTTTGATATCTGCTAAAGTAAATGTGGTTGCTGTGGTCATGAGAACTCTTTGAGCTCTTTGATATTTACGTGGTAATCGAAATATGATATCGAATGCTTGCGAACGGAATGTACTATTAAACATAATACAAGAGTCTTCAATTATCACTGTTTTTACACCCGAGAAATCAAATCTTCTTTCTGCCATCAAATCAATCAGTCTCCCTATTATTAAATTTGACGTGAAAAACACGTTTAAATACTAGTATTATTATTATTAAAAAAAATTTTTTTTTAATAAATAGCAAACCTGGGGTGGCGACTATTATTTGTTGTCCATCATTTTTTAATCTTTCAATGTCTCGTCTTAAAGGATATCCACCAATACAAATAAATGACGAAATTTGCATATCTTTTGCAATTCTATGAATATAATCTTCGATAACATAACAAAGATCTTTTAGATGAACAAGTATGATTGCTTGACAAGATGTATATCGTGGATCAATTTGTTGAAATATAGCAGCCAAATACGTTAATGCTCTTTCTTTAGAATGTGGGACTTGAATTACACAATCTTTACGCGATAATATGGCACTTATTGCACGTTTTTGTGTTGATGTAGGTTGATCATAACTATGTTATATTTTATATCAATTATGATAATTAATAAAAATATAGATAATGTAAAATTAATAAATATAATTAAAAAAGGTAACAACCCCAAAGAACGAATTCCATTTAACAACTGAGGCTTTAAATCCATTTCTTCAAAGGTTGAGATCGTAGTTTTCCAGTTATCTTGTAATTTTTCACGTTGAGTTGTATCGCGTTGAGGGTGGGTTTCCTGTTCTGATTTATTAACATCTCTATTATTCGCAGGAGATGGTGAGGCACCTCTTCGATTCTATATTATGATATAATTGTTGATCAATTAGAGTTATTGGTTGATCGATTGATCGATTGATTAATTAATTGATTAATTAATAAAACATACTTGAAATTTGAGTGGTATTCTAGTCATTTGTCTATTTGCATTTCTTATTTGTTGTTCACTTGTGGGCTGAGAAGAAGGTACTATTGTTGCTTGAGGGGATGATGGTGCAATGGTAGCGGCTTGAGGTTGTGGTGGAGGTAATGGTGGAGATGGTGGAGGGGATGATTGCGGCTGTGATTGTTCTTTTTGTTGTTGTTGTTGTTGTATACCTTTTGACTCATTTATAGAACCATTTATGGTGGATTTGACGGATTCATTAACAGCTTCACTTTCATCTGATGAAGCTTCATCAGCACTTTGTTTTTGTGAATTAGCAAGTTGTTTCTTTCTTGCTTTTCTCAACCGTTTTCTCTCTGCCATATTTAATTTTTTATTTTTTTTCTCAGTCTGTATGATATTATTATTTTTGTTGTTAGTGATCGTGGCGATGGCATTGATACTATTAGTATTATTTTTTTCTTTTTTTGCATTTGATGTTTTCTTTTCATGTGTTGTGGATGGTGTTTTGCTTATGGTGGTGATGGTAGTGGTAGGAGTAGGCGGAAGTATTGTAGTGGTAGTAGATGGAGTGGTATTGTTGGTAGTAGGAGTTGTAGTAATACTAACAGGTTGTTCGATCGATCCAATATCTTCATCGTCAGAAGGAGGAGAACTAACGATCCCGTTAACTTTTGGTTGTTGTTTACATTGTTTTTCCAAGCTTTTTACAACCTCTGCTAAATAATCAATTTTTTGTTGAATTAGAGGCAAAACACTTAGAGAAGTTTTAATTTCTTGAATAGAAGTATTAAGTAAAGAGTATGTATTCTCCATTTTTTTTTTTTTTAATAATTTTTTTGAGGAAAAAGATTTTTTTTTTAGATTATATGTCAATCAATCAATAACAATAATAAAATTACATATGTCACACATTTTCACCTTAATTTACGATATTAAATAGCATTATTGATGATTATAAATACAAAATATTATAACAAATTTATATTTATAGATAAATTCTCGGTCATATATACAATTTATTACGCGTCAAAAGCAAAAAATAGAAAGAGATCAGCAAAAAGATCAACTTGTGGAAAGCGAACGAGAACAAGAATATCTTTCCTTATTAAAATAATTTATTAAATTAAATATAAATAAATAATAAAATTATACAATTAAAAAAAAATATTATATATATAAATACACTATTATTATTCTAAATATAACGCATCATACACACCTTCTATTTATATGTTTTGTGTGTGTGCATGTACATTTGTATGTGTTTATATGATTATATATGATTATATATGATTGTGTATATATTATATATATAATACAGTAATTAAGCTTTTGAAAAGATTTTATTAATAAAACTAAATTTATTTTTATGTTTTTGTAAAAGTCTCAACCTCTTGGCAGCGTCTCTATCTTTATTTACTGCAGCTTTACTATACCATTTGATGGCCAAATCTATGTTTTTTGCAGTGCCATATCCATTTTCGTGATAAAAAGCAAGATTATATTGGCCATATATATTGCCGTTTTCGGCTGCCTCCTGATAAAGTTGAAATGCTTTAACAAGGTCCTTGGTAGTTCCTACTCCATTTTCATAACAATAACCAAGATTAACCTTTGCTTTTATGTTACCTTTATTTGCAGCTTCGTTAAATAACCTGAATCCTGCAGTTTCATTTTTTTTGACTCCAATACTGTTCAAATAACAATATCCAAGTGAGCTCCTGGCACATAAACAACCTTTATCGGAGGAATATTTGAGATATTTAAAGGCTAATTTCTTATTAACCTCGGTACCATAACCATTTTCGTTAAAATATCCAATAAAATATGCTGCAATCATTTCAACACCATTATCCTCCTCACATGGAGTAGTGATAATGGTGGTGGTAGGACTAAAGATATCGATATCTTCGTCAATGCAAATCTCGATGTCATTTAAATTATAATTATCAATCTTATCTGTAAGGGTGTTATCAGAATTAGAAGGACGGGTATTAATTTTAATACTAGGTCTTCTATTATTGTTATGATTGTCATCGATGTTGTTGTAGTTGTTTTTATTATTGTTGTTGTCACTATTATTATCAGTATGATTTTTATAATAGTTGTTTTCTCCATAATCATCACCAGCATCACTACCATCATCACTAATATCTATTGTTGATATTGAACTATAAATTAAATTGTAACTTTTTTGATAATCTTTTTTTGTTTCAATTCCTGCATAATAAATATATCCAAGTAGTAAAGCATATCTTTTAACGTCTATGCTTTTAACCAACCAATTGAGAATATCACTAAAAGATTTATTGTATTCTTTTAAATGTTCAAACAAAAGATTTTTTATCTGATAATCTTCTTTACCATAATTTATTGAATTAATCAATATAATATGTATAAATTCATCAACGATTTTCTGTATTAATTTATTTTCTTGCTCTAGAGTGTTAATCGCAATATCCCTTTGTGTATCAAATCCAACAAAACTAAGAGAATTCAGACTTTTTTCAAAAAATGTTTTTACTAAATAGTCAAAACGTGATTGCATACAACTGTAACTTGTTTGTACTGGAGCGACATTCGTCGGAAGCGGAAGTTCTGCAGGTTTCGGTGCTTCACGATTTTTAAAACTGCCATCTTTAGGCAATATATTAAGACTATTTTTTTTAGTTCTAATGGTACTATGACTACTATTACTACCATTATTCATTCTATTCTCCATATCCACAATCATTTCATTTAATTTTGTTAATACACATTCAATATCTGGTCTACTCTTAGGATCATCTCTCCAACATTCTAATCATTAATTATTTAGATTACTTATTAATTCTGTAAATAACAAATAAATCGATTAAATCGCTAACAAGTTACCTTCATATAAATCTATGTAATCTTTTGGTATTCCGGGTATTGGTTTTTCTCTTAAACCTTCAGTGATATTTAACACTAAAGTAATTTGTTCATAATCTTTATTGTATTGATGGAATGGTGGATGACCAGATGTCAATTCCCACAGCAATACACCTATACTATAAATATCTGATTTTTTATCTGGCCTGTATTGTTTCTGTTGTGTATGATGACCTACCGTGGATTTTTTAAAACATTGCGGATCAATATACGGAATCATTCCTCTTAGTTGAAGTGTAGAATTTGAATGTTCAAGCAATCTCTTTGATAAACCAAAATCGGATAATTTTATAATGTTGTCATGTACCAAAAGGTTATTCGAGTGCTGGAAATATAAATAAAATAGTTAAAGGTTTGAAAATAAATAAGAAAAGCCAAATTCTAATAAAATGATCTATATATAGCTTAATAGAAGCATTAATTGATGAATTACCAAGTCTCTATGTATAATTTCATTTTGATGCAGACACATTACTGCTGTCGCAATTTGTTTTGCAAAGTTTAATTTCGTATACCAATCAATCAAATCAAAATTGGCTTGTAAATATTGACGCAATGTTCCGCTATTGGCATATTCAAGCACTAATAAATAGTTGAAATTATCTTTTCTATCTAGAAAAAAATTTTAATTTAATTTTTTCGAAGTTTGCAATAAAATTTTTTTTTGTAGCAAGAAATATATTTATCTACCATCTTTTTTAGTGATTCCATAAAACCTAATGATGTTTACATTAAAATCTACTTTACGTAATAATTTGATCTTTTTGTTTTTATAAAAAGGAAAAAAAAATTACTAAATTACCAATTGATTATTAGTACCATGATAATTAGAATGATCAATCACTTACTTCATTTACAACTTCTTTAATATTAAAACTTTCTTTATAAAATGATTTTAAAGCAACTTCATCCCCAGTATTTAAGTTTGCCTTATACACTTTACCAAACCCACCCATTCCAATTTTGTGAATATTTTCAAATTTTTGATAATCATAAAAATTAATGTGTTCATCTTCAATTGCTCGTTCAATCCAATCAACCCACTTTCTTGTTGTCGCATTGTCTATAATATAAGAACCAGTTTCCTCGCTTGAATTAGACATTTCTTTAGGCCGTCGTAGAATTAATTTTTTCTTTGAATTAATTAAACGACAGTAAACAGTAATAAAAAAAAAATTATAGTGATTTTAAAATTAAGTTAGTCGTGTTCACACACATGCACGTGTATGCCCAAGCTAGAAAGAAAAGGAATTGTTTCATTATTAATACATTAATTTTAATCGATGGGAAAATGTACAAATCGATCGATTCGATCGATTTGTACAATTTTTTTAAAAAATATATTACGTTTGTGGCGTGTAGGTGACGTTAGAATTTTATTTTATTTCCAAATAGGAAAAAAAATTGTATCATTAAAAATAGCTAAAGATAGAAATGACGATATTTTTGAATCATATACAGTATATGAAAAAGGATGATATCATATATATATATATATTTAGATTAATTATTATTACGGTGTCATAATGCAGATTATGTAATATATATATAGTAATAGTGATTGATTGTGATCGTATAATAGAGTACAAGGGATGATCTTCGATTATGCACAAAACTTTTTTTAAATTATGCATCAAAAACACCAAAAAATATTATTATTATTATTTTTTTTTTTTATGAGCTGTCACTTTTGCAATGATCGCAAAAAAAATTTTTTTTCCTTTTTTATAAACATTTGATGTTGATCTTGTGATAATTATCAATTATGTACCGGATTTTGGCAATATTATAAAATTATCGTTCCTGGTCTAGAGATATGTTTAACGTTAATGGAAGAGAAGGAAAATCGACACGAGTACAGTGATGGCATAAAGGATTTTACGTCAAAGTAGGAAATTCATACAAAAGCGAAATTGGTATAAAAGCAACTTGATTTTATGTATTAGTTAGAATCGTTAGTATATTGCCAATTCGTCTGATCCACACACTAAACAACTATTGATCATTGATTAATATACACACGCTCGCTCCCATTCAAATAGTCGTTAACACTATTAAAAATAAAATAAACTGCACCACTAAAGCTTTTAATAATATTTATTATTCAACTGGACGTTCGTTGCCTATCCCAAATTGATGGCGTGAACGGTATAAAATATAGTGCATGACACTTGGCTACATCTTGTTTTTTTCCGTTTTTTTGGAGAGTTAAAGGATCTGCAATGCTAATAAAGTTTTCAGCCCATCTATATATAATTTTTATTGTGTAACCTGACCGAAAAATCATTGGTTTCAAATAAAGTTATAATTTATCGAGATTTCTGTCTTTTAAAAAATTTTTTTGACAAAAAAATAAAACGTTGAAAAATCAAATAATTTATTCAATAACAAAGAAAAAACTAAAACCAAGGTTTTAAATATTAACACATTTCTTCACATTTTTAAATAATGATTTTGAACAAGAGAGACTTTTTTAATTAGATTTTGTAGCAAGTATTTTTATAAATTTTATATATATACATATAAATAATGATGATAATTGGAAGAGATTTGATCATGTTAGTATTTGTACTTGTAATTCGTATGGTTC